GAATAAATCGGCAGGTAGAAATCGACCTCTCGGGGATCGATTTATCGCGTCCCGTTGGGACGCGACAATTGATCCCCAAATCGATGCTCTTACTCCACCAGCAGAGGTGGGAGTAAGCGCCGTCGACGGGAAGCCGCAGAGGTCAATTTTGCCGCCGTTCTCACAGCGGGGTAAGTCGGCTGCGATATGTCGAATTCAGCTACGCTATTCACATAGCTGAATTTGCGTATCTTAAATAGACTCCCCCCTGTAGTGTAGATGTACCCTTAGACAAATGACAGAGAGGAGTATAAAAATATTGCTCAGGCATGCAGGAGTGAAATCAGGAAGGCCAAATCACAATTGGAGTTGCAACTAGCAAGCGATGTTAAGAGTAACAAGAAGGGTTTCTATAGGTATGTTAGCAACAAGGTGGTGGTTAAGGAAAGTGGGGGCCCCGTACTGAATGGGGGAGGCAACCTAGTGACAGAGGATGGGGGAAAAGCTAATGTACTTAATGCTTTTTTTGCCTCTGTCTTCACAAACAAGGTCATCTCCCAGACTACTGCACTGGGCAGCATAGTATGGGAGGAGGTGACCAGCCCTCTGTGGAGAAAGAAATGGTTCAGGACTATTTAGAAAAGCTGGACAAGCACAAGTCCAGGGGCTGGATGCACTGCATCCAAGGGTGTTAAAGGAGTTGGCAGATATGATTGCAGCGCCATTAGCCATTATCTTTAAAAATTCATGGCGATCGGGGGAGGTCCCGAATGACTGGAAAAAGGCTAATGGAATGCCCATCTTTAAAAAAGTGAAGGAAGAGGATCTGGGGAATACAGGCCAGTCAGCCTCCCCTCAGTCCCTGGAAAAATCATGGAGCAGGTCCTCCAGGAATCAATTTTGAAGCATATTGAGGAGAGGAAAGTGATCAAGAACAGTCAGCATGGATTCACCAAGGGCAAGTCATGCCTGACTAACCTAATTGCCTTCTATGATGAGAACTGGTTCTGTGGATGAGGGGAAAGCAGTGGATGTTTTATTCCTTGACTTTAGCAAAGCTTTTGATACGGTTTCCCACAGTATTCTTGACAGCAAGTTGAAGAAGTATGGGCTGGATGAATGGACTATAAGGTGGATAGAAAGCTGGCTAGATCGTCGGGCTCAACGCGTAGTGATCAACATCTCAATGTCTAGTTGGCAGCTGGTATCAAACGGAGTGCCCCCATTGAATATTGGGCCTTTTGCCCCGCTCTGTCCCTTCTGGAAAGCTGGGTTAAATGGCCTATTGAGAACTTCCCTTGCATGGGGGCTTTATGGCACCTGCTCTTGGTCATTCCCTAATATACAGGATATTCCAGGGTCAGGAGAGCAGCACTGGAGTTGCTTTTGCTCTGGAAACCTTTGGGTTCTAGGGAAACAGTTGCAGGCAGTGCAAGTTACAGCAGCACTAAGGTTACTACAACTTGCACTTTGGGGGCTACATTAGCCTGTGGCTAACTCTATGATGAGGGCAACCAAAGATAAAATAAAGCCACTTCTTTACCCATTCCTTGGATTCTGTTTAGAAAGGGTTTTCTACTGGTAATTAGGGAGGTGCATAGTAGATAAGTAGTTTATAGCACAGGCCTATCAATTTTGTTGCAAGGTTTTTAAATAAATTTGAGATGCTAAGGTATCCATGATGAACAACAAATTTCTTCCAGTTGTAACCCATGATTGTATATTCCTTCCACATTACTGGCTCAGCCTCAAACTTTTTTCTCTCTGTGTGCACAAGTACAGAACATCTTGCTTTAACAATTTTCCTGGTTATTTGATGCATATTACCATACCATTGCAAGCAATTTTCCCTCAGTATCAAGTGTACCTTCTCTCCCCCCCTTTTATGAACAGTCTGTCTGAGATCATAGTGTGTTTCACTAGACAAACTAAATCTTCAGGCCTTTGGTATAATTTTGGTGTTGATTCATCTATCAGTACAAGCTTGCACATTTATGAACTATCAAGCAACTTCTACACACATAAAATTACTTCTGCCTAGGTCACTCATATTAAATTCAGTCACTGCACAAGATTTACATTTTACTGCAAAGCAAGAGGGAGAAATGAAGCCAGGGTTAAAGGGGAGTATAAATTGTTTACTTTCTCCATTTTACATTCTTATCTCTTACCATTCCTTGCAGATCAGGAAATTTATTTTTTCTTGCTTTAATCACCTTCCTAGATGCAGTTTGTAAACAAGTTTTAGAGAAGAGTGAAAATAAAAGACAAAAACAAACAGAAGGTCATGCCTTGTGTATAGAATTAGTATAAAGTAAGCATGAAAGACTGATTGAAGCTACTCATTAAAATGATGCCTCTGGAGGGGGTTATGACTAGCCACTCAGGAAACTTAGGGTCAGTTTAAGTTCGAAACCTTTCCACAGACACACAATTTTAGATCTCTGCTAAAAGGAAGACACCTCCTTGACACATGCACTTGAAGAGATAAGGCAAGGTTAGGGAAAAGTACCATCTCAGAGGTCGATAATCACACACGAGCCATAAAAATTTGCATACTAGTCAATTTAGACTTATAAAATCTCAAAGCCTATTCTGCAGCTAAGGTAATGGGATTTATCTGACTTTTTTTGTATTGTTCAGTGGAACTCCACAGCAACATTTAGCAAGCTCTCCCTTCCAATATTATATTTATAGGAAAAATTCAGCACATGGTTTAAAAAAAAAATCACAATGTTTCTATATGGTAGGATCAAAGGCAGAAAAACAAAAAGAGGAAAAATAGTAAGGGACTAATTCACCTCTCAATCATTTACATAAGTGCACTTTTTAGTTAAATAGTTGGGAGATGCATTGGTCAAAAATAAAACGGGAGAGAGGAGAGTTGGGACCTATATATATATATCTTTGTTTTAACCACAGATTGTTTGATCCTGATAGCTACAAGATCAGCTTCTTCTCACTTTTCTGCTCTGTGTTGTTTGTGATCCTAAGTGGGTATGCGGAGATGGGAGGACCTGGTTCAGACATGGGAAGGAGCTGCATGCGCTATTGCATACTGCTCTGCAAAACCTTGTGAGAGCCCTGGCACTGCATCCTTTCTGATCAGACATTTCATCCTAATTGTCAATACTACTGAACTTTTTAAAAAAAAAGAGAACTAGACATGTCTTTTTACCCCCAAGGAGTAAATTGCTGTTTTATTGTGTGAATAAACACAGCTGTACTTTTACTTAGATTTTTTTTTCACTTTAATGTAAACATTTTCTAAATGCTTTAAAAAGACAGGTCACTTTCAATGTTAAAGGGAAAGAAGTACTACCATGCCAAATATTTTATTTCTCCAGTTAAAACAGGCCAAGTAGTAGTCAGAACTTGAAGTGTGGAATGTAACTAATCCATAGTGCACTTCACTACAGAGAAAAGTAATGCCACAGTTACATTGCCAGCTGAAGGGGCCAGTTACCAGAGCAGCATTTTTTTTTTACATGCATGAAATAGATCTGAATGTTCTGCTCAAACTAGCCTATGAATTTGTTCAATGTCTTCCAAAGTGAAATAACCTGTCAGAGAAAGTACGCTGGCCAATAGGCAACCATTTGAACATGTTATATTTTTAATTTGCAGAGACAAAAATGACAAGCAATTTATTTACATAAAACTGTACAAAAGCAAATTAAATTATGTAAAATATTTCATAAATAGAGGTGGACTAGCATTTAATACATTTTGCCATGTTTAGCATAGGTGCGTGCATAGTGACTCATAATAAACAATGATAAATTGTTCTCTGCTTCACTATCAACATCCAAGTTGCAGAACAATAGTCAATGATTAATATTACAAACAGATCGTACCACACTGAATGCAAGTGCTTTAAAATTTAGGAAAAAGTTGTCTGAAAGTGTACCCCAGGTAGCTGGAAAATGATGCCTTCTTCCATGTGTTATGCTCTTCGGGCAGCAGCTCAGTTTAATTGCTGGACTACATTCATTTCTACTGTTGTCCTCTACTCTCTTTCATTTCTTAAGGAAACACTGTATATTTATAACTGATATAACATACGAAACTGCTTTGTTGTTCAAGTTCCTTAAAAGCCTTTTAGCAACAGCTGTATTTATGGCAGATTCATTTGGCTTTGCTCTACATTTCCTACTTGACAACTTCCTAGGGTAGCCTTTCAGCCAAGCATCTTCGATCCCGTTTTAGTTCTTCCTCACATAAAAATAATGTCTACCTTGTTTGTTTTTTTCTGAAACTCAGGCAGCAGGCCAGTCAGAAACCATATTGAATAATATAGTAGATCTGGAGGTTCAGAGGGAGCATTAGATTTTAGACTGAAGCTACAGACTTCTCTAATACATATAAAGTTATATAGTTATGCGTCATCTATAAATGTGTCCTAATGTAAAATACATGCAAAGTTCATTTGAGTTTCCCATGGAAGGAAAAAAAGGACAATTTTTATACTGTACAACCAAAATGGAATGGCAGCTAGAAGCAATTAAGCGACACTAAATCATCAATTTTCCTGGCAAAATGAACTTATGACACCTTGCTAAATAACTATATGGTATTTACCTATTGTGATCTATACTGTAGCCTTCTAGGCAATAGATTGGAAGGAAAACAAAAAAGCAGCACATACCTAAGCTACAATCTGGTTTTCATAATCAAAGATACTTAAGACTGGTCCAATATCGGAGTTTGGCAGAAGGCATTTTTTTAAATATATTATTTATAATTTATCAGAAAATAAACAAGGATCAATATACAGGTTCAAAAAAGTTGGGAATAGCCCATTACCCCTCAGTGCCCAAACCCAATCACCTTTCTACTATAACAACAGGTATAAAAGGCACGGTTGCATATTTTGCATTCGCTCTTAAATTTTTTTTTTTTTTATACTTCATTTCGTTTGTGTTTATTTTTACAAAAGCACTCTATATGTGGAGTGGCACCAGATTAACCTATTTCAAATGAAAAAAACTACAAACACAAAATGTATTTCTGTGTCATGCCAGGTCATAATAGTAATTGACATGTTATGATGGGTAGTTCTACTAGAAGTACTGTGAATATTTAAAGTAGATTGATTTTTTTTTATTCTTTTCACACCCATTTTCGTTCTAAGGAGTTGCTCACAAGTAAATGACAATGGCATGACTGCCTTATGTGGTGCAAAAACAGGTGAGTGACTGCTGATCCATTTAATCTGAAGGTCTTGTTTGACCTGTGTTATTAGCTTTTTAGACAAAGGGTTTAAAGATGTACTTAAACAAGTCATCTAGTGGTTTTCAACTGTAGTATTAAGATAAAAAGTTCCTATTAAAGAAAAAAAGTTTTGTTGAACATCTGTTATGCAATTCTGTTGAAGCGTGCAATAAAACTGTGTATACATTACAGAAGCATCTTTAGAATCTTTTTTTCCCCCTTAACAGGTACTTACAGATTATACAATGCAGTAACTTTTCTTTACAGTCTTATCATAAAGTACTAATTTGCATCTCTCCATAATTTAAATAATTAAATGTAAAAAAGTTCAATTATTAATCTTTGTTTTAATATTTTTTCTTCATAACATGTCTCCATTCATCATAACTTCTACACACAAACTAGCATCAAAATGAAAACTAAACTTAAGAGGGGAATGTAATGGCCAAAAAGGGCACCCCTCTATATAGAGAAGAGAATTTGAAAAGTAAATGTTGTGATGAGTTGTACTGATTTATCAACCTATATTTCAGGCTGTTTAATGTTATATTTTCTATGTAATTCTTCAAAAGGAAGAAACTACCCAAAGCTACATTGTGACTACAGTCTACTAGACAGCCATCTAGCCATGCCCTAATGCCAGGTTAAACACCCAGGGATTAGAATGTTTGCACCCTTCTCAAACTGTCCGCACTGTGTTGACTGATTGTCATTTTCATCTGAATGTCTGAATTCAGTATTCAATTATTACTACATCATCAGCTACGAAGCAACTAGCTCAAGTCCTTCTTATACATTTTGTTGCTTTTATTGCACAAAAAAGCTGTTTTGTTTCCTATTCCCTTTACGAAGTGCATACTGTGAGAATCGTCACTGGCCATAGCTCTTTGCTATCATGATTAGTTTGGATTCCTTGTGACTTCTCTCAATCTACCATGTAAAGTATCATATCAATGTTCAAGTCAATCTGACCATTTATTACCCTCCTTAAGTGTGTTGAGTCTTGACATTGTTTCATATTGCACAGGACTGTTTTAATGCACTTGTGTTTCAAGAAAACCTGCATCATACCTTTCACAAACACAGTTAGCAACATTGATGACAAAAGATTTAGCAAGCATATCTTGCACTGTGAAAAGAAGAAATTTTACTTGACTTGCAATATACTCTTGTCACTGCATCACACCATTTCCCCGCCATCCATCTTCCCCCAAAAGTGTTCTGGGTGACATCAACACAGCCTCTGAGTTTTATTTATTTATTTAAAAGGTAACCTTTTGGAAAATATTCCTTGGAACTGGCAGTATCATATCATACAATAGATGCTGTATGTTGTTATAACATTATCAGCAAACATCTTAGCGGTTCCTTCGGGCATTCTACTAAAATCCATTGAAGTAGTAGTAGGTCATCTGGGATTGTGGACTATGCTGCTGTGCAAAATGTAATTGAATGTGTATTTATGTGTGCATGCATATGGTTTGTTGGTACACTAGATTTCTAAGCCAAGACCAAATACTTAGCAATTCCCCTGATCCATAGTGCGATCTTTGGCCTTTTTAGTTACTATGATCATCCCAACTAGATATACGTCTTGTCCAAAATAACATGAGTTTAACAGTTTATCATTAGTATGCTACGGTACATATGACATTAATTTTGTTACGCTGAAGTAAGCCGATAGAGTTCATTCTATGGATAAAAACAGAACCCAGAGTTCATGATTCATAGGGAAATATGCCACCTTTTGGACTACAGTCTCAGGCGGAGTATAATTCTCTTGTTTCAAGCCTCAGGTGAGAAAATTAAAGCTGTGATCTTCACAAAGTGCCTATTAATGGCCATCTCTTTATATTTACCTCTATGTTTGTATGGTTTCTAAAGGATCATCCCTGATGGGGATCAGCAATATTCAGATGATATGCTTGGAGTATATTTTCCCTGACCGGTTATCCTTAACAAGCCAGGTGACAATCAAACAAAATCAGAGTGGCTTAAATCATGCTTCAGCAGAGGGGTAACAACAGTGTGTTGTGTTCTTTTAATCAGGCTTGTTACCATGAAAGCAATTTGCAACCAGAAATTTAAGAAAATAAAAATCAGTGAGGGGGATTAGACATGCAAGTAACAACAATGGTTTCTACATTGTACAGTATAGTCAGGCGGACTATATAATTAAATGCCTGATATGGAGGCAGAAGTGGCAGGCAAAGCTTTTGTCTCTTTGGTGGCCCCCTCTTTTTTCCCCCCTCCTTTTTTCGTGCTAAACTGTTTTGATTTTAAGATTTTTTGCCCCTTATCCTTCTTATACATGAATGAACCTTGTTGTGGCTTCTTTATAACCTACAGGTAAACTTCTCTTCTAGTTAGAGTATTGACAGGAGATGGCTTGTATTCCCCTGTCTGTGTAAGGGGGATATCCTCTGGATTGGCTTCCTCATTTTTGCTGAAGCTAGCTGCGTTGAAGGTCTCATAGGATGAGGTCAACTTTTTGTTCAGGAGGTTTCTGTTGCGATCACCCATGAGGGAGGCTTCTCCATTGGCTAGCTTTTCCTGACTGCCCCGTTCATCAACAGGCATGAAGGTGGAGAGTTTTGGCTGGCTCTTCTGCTTCCTTTCAGGCGAAGTGCGAACTGGCATCCAGCAGGAGTCCGAGTGACCATATTCATCACACTCTCGAGTACATTTCCCCGTCAGGGCTACATCTGGTAGAGGCCTCGAGTCTGAAAACAGAGGAGAATTTCCTTTTAAAAAATATACTGAAAATGTCTTCCCTTCCTCAATGTGATTAACGAACTTTTAAAACAAAGTATTTTTAAAAGTTTTTGCATTGACAAAATCTTTAAAGCTAAAAATCACTGAACCGCATGTTAACTTTAATAATACATATGTCATATGCAACAACAATGTATGCAATTCTACCAGACACTGGCAGCACAAATTAATGAGAAGTGTGGGCACAAAGGCACTTCTTGACATATGATATGATTTTAGGTAGAATATTTAACAACTTTTGGTACCAATTAGCTTGTGAATCTTAACTTGACTGGATACCCACACTGCCATAATCAGACAGATGCCTCATTTTGTGATGCCCATTTTCTTTAATGGATTTAAATACAAAACCTCTCTTTTGGATTCTTTGTAAAACACATTTCAGTATCTTATTAATAGAATTTAAGGTCTTGATCCTCTGAACACTTATGCACATGCTATATGCGAGAAGTCCTGTTGTCATCCCCAGGGTTGTGTGTATATAAAGTTAAGCATGTGCATAAATCTTCTCAGGATTGGGGTCTAGGGCCCAGATCCTCAAAGACATTTAGGTGCCTAAATACCTTTGAGGATAAGGGCCTAAGCTGTAAATACATGGACATGTAAAAAGCAAATTAAAAACAGTAATGGATAAGTGCATGCAACCCCCCTTTCCAGTCTAATATGTACAGTCAAAGGTGTTGTGTGTGTTCATGTAGGAACCTGACTGCTGAAGTGTTGGCTGAAAGGAAAATGTTTTGTGACTACGATGTGCTGTGTAGAATGCTGTAGTTCCTGACCTCTGAAGCAAAAATCTTTGAGCTCTTATACAAAGAGGCCACTCACTGAAATCAGCTGGGCTTTTGGTTCAGACAGGGCTCAGTGCTGCAGCCTGTTAGAGGCAGATGTTAAATTATTTTGATATTTACATAATTGCAACTGAAATTAGAAAAGTTTATATATATATATATATATATATACACACACACACACACACACACACACACACTACTAACTAAGTACGAC